ATACATTCTCTTTTATCATGTCATTTTAAAACAAACAAAACAAAATGGCCTATTTTCAATTGGAAACATTTTTTTGATTTATGTTTTCAAGTGAAAATGAACATCGTTACTCGCACGATGTCAGGTTAACCAGAGTCCGTGAGCTTTTTTTAAGGGGGTATTTTACTGTAAAGGTATCAATTTCGTCCGGTTTTTGAAGCGCTGTATAAAGGAAACAATAATATTTTTACTATCGATATTTTATCATTTGTTATTGATATTTTATTATTACATAAAAAAATTATTAAAAAAAAAATTAAAATTCACAAAGTTATGAGCAGTCAAAGTGGGAGCTCAAAAAAAAAGAGGGTATCCTGGCGTGCATGATTCCAACCCTCCTGGTGATCTGAAGCATAAAAAAGATAGATTCTTAATTATTATAGATGCCGCTATCGTATGAACCTTGGATATAAGTAAAAAAAAATTTTGTTTGAATGGCGGCAGTTTTGAAAAAAAAAAATTTTTTTTTTATGTTTTTTTAAACAATTCCGATTTTTTTAAAAATACTAAATGAAAAGTATAGTTTTGGGAAAGGTCCATGCGATAAAGCGATGTATAGAGAAGATCCTCTCCAAATTTGAAGTAAATCGGTTAATTAGAACTCGAGACATCCTTACCGCCAGCTCGAAAAAGTAGTTCCGAGAAAAACGCGTTCAAAATTTTGAGACAAGTCGGACCCGAACCGAGGCCACGTGACTAAACGGCTATAACTCAGGAAATAAATGTAATTTGAAAATTTAATGACATTTTTTTGAATAACTAAACTTTGAAAATATGAAAAAAAAAATCGATTTTTACAAATTCTACAGTAGAATAATACCCCTTAAATGCTTCTCAACTAAAACTATTCTCAATTAAAATTAAAATAGCTTTTATAAAATAATGTAAGTTTGCAGATTCCCAGTTCGTAGTCCATATAAAAATAATATTAATGTTGAGAAAGCGAATTAGAAATAGTTATATAACAAATTTGTAGGTAAGACCAATATATAATATCTAAGTAGAAGTAAAAACATATTACCTATATTCTGGTATTTCCTGCAATGACCGAAATACTTCGAACACATTTGATAGATCCATTCAAACGATAAAATATCTGTTTTCTTCTTCACAATTTTCCTATGACATAATCCTCTTCTCTAATTAAATCACAAAATTAATTATCACAGTCTACAAATAACGTAATGTATCAAAGAAAACACGACAATGTACAAAACAATATCCACTGGTCCTCCTCCCAAAATCCTCGACTGGTCAGAGGACTAGCATGGCAGAGTAGATCGTCTGGTCTCAGGAGCAGCAGAGCTTTGATACCGCCTGCCCTGTGCTGCTGCGAGCACGTGGTGTCCCTGGCCAGCGCCTGCATCCTCCTGGCCTCGCTGGAGGACACCGTCCTGGTCTGGACGGTCTCCCTGAGCCAACGGCGCAACCAGTGGCCGAGCCAGACTAGGGCGCAGTCGCATTGGAGCGGGTTGTCGGACATCAGCAGCCCGCCTGGTAATACACTCGTAAGGTAAAGTTAACATTTTAAGTCGGTCGAGCATTTTTTTTAGCAAAGTAGGATTTATAGCAATTAATGAATGAGTAAAAACAAACCATAATACAAAGCAACAATTAATTATAAAAAAATAATCCAAATATACACGTATATATCTTCTATAAATAAAAATATAATATAAAAATGAATGTGTTTGTAAGCGCATAATTCAACAACGCCTGGACCAATTTGACAAATTCCTTTTTAAAATGTTCGTTGAAGTCTAAGGATAGTTCTTACGGCGAGAGAAAAATCGAATAATTTCCGGGCTCACAGCCCTTTTCTTTTTCACATACAAACGTTTTCTAACTAAAACGTAAAATCAATTTGACCTTTATTGCTATTATATCAAAGCCAAATATTAATTAATGATAATAATTTTAATAATATACTATTAAAACAGGTAAAATAGTAGGGGGGGCGACGGGGCGCAAAAAAATGACAATCGATTTTGAGATTTTTTGATATTATGAAAGCTAAAAACCTTAGAATTATTAAAAAAAAATCATCTCAATATCTATTTTTTGACGAAGTTATAGATATATATATCTCTATATGTATGATCCTCTGAAACCGTTTTTTTATCGCTCCCGAGCTATTGTATGCCAGCTGCTCTCTTTTTCATTATAATACCTCATGCACATGACCTTTTTAATGTGTCAGCATCCTTGAACACCATGCTGTATTTAGTACATTAAATTAAATGGTGTATTTAGTACATTATATTAAAAACTTTGAATAGGTTTTCTCAAATTGACTTTTTTCAATGCGGTGACACAAATTAAAAAAAAACTACAAGTCGGATCGACTTGCATTTTTTTTAATTTGTTCATCACTGCAATACCTAGTCCCCCTACCCCCTACCTCAAACAACTTGATAACAATACGCAAAAAATTTTTGCGAAGCTTCTCGCCCCAAAAAAAGGCCTTTTTTGACACTTTTTTTAAATAGCTGCCATTTTTTCCTTCTTGCTTTTTTTTCATTTGGTAGGGAGACTGGATTCAAACATCTTCTTCAACGTAGTTTCTTTTTTTTGTTTCAGAAAAAGAAAATTTCGTAATATTCTATGATTTTGTATTTTTTTAAAAAAAAAAACCCGCATCTCTATGATAAATGCATTTCGAGAAAAACAAAAACAAAAAAAACGAACAACCCCCTTAAGGCAGTTCTACATTTATCATCGCTCATATTGTTGTGTATGCATTTTGGTGTGAGGAGTAATTTCAAAAACAATAATCATTATTTTAGGTAAACGGTAAATATTAGTAAAGGATATTAAAAAATTGTAGGCGTGGGGTCATCTGTCGGGTCATCTAGTTTTAGATATGCTAATAATATATTTTGTACCTGGAGGAGCTCTACACATAGCGATCTAATATATATAATAATGTTTTTGTTGTTCAATACATGTGATAATCTGATATGTAATTTATTTTTGGTTTCCCGGAGAAATGATTAAGATAAATTAGTTAATTAATTAGAAAACAAAGTAAAGTTGAGCTATTTTTTGCAATAAAAAGTTTGGTTTAAATATTATTTTAATTTTTTTGGGTACAGGTATCCCTCGTATAATAAAGTATTTACGTTCTAAAAAAGTCTCGTGAATGCAAATACGTGTTATACGGGACAAAGAACTAATACAAAAACAGGGGTAACGATTCAAGATTAAAAAAAGCAACATATTATAATTTAATATAGAATATTATTATATTTATTCAATTTTTCTAAGAATAAAATTACCTATCCAATACAATAGTTTTTTTGGCAAGATATCCTAATCCTCTGAACATTTTTTGTACTAATTTCATTTCCATGCTCAATTTTTTACAAAAATTTTGATAATATTTTCATAGATTTTACTGTATTTATTATTTTATTAAGGTCGTAAGATTTCACTGTATTTATTATTTAATCAAATCGTGTTATAGCAAACCCGTGTGTATAAGAGGGATGGTCTCAATTTTTAAATCATATTAGAACGAATACGTGTTATAGAAGCACCGTGTTATGCAGGACTCTCCTGTATTTTAAGTTCAAATGAATAAACAGTTATCAAAAACAAAAAGAATTTTTGGCGTCTGTCCAATTATTATAGAACAAACACTGTTATGTCCCAAAAAATCTTCAAGTGGATTCCTGAAAAAGATTCTTTAAAAGATTTTTCGTATGGATGTCTGGAATATTCTTCTATATATAGGGTGTCCCAGACCTTAACGACAAGCCGAAACAGACCTTAAGTGTCCTGACAAAATTTAGAAAAAAAATTCACGTTGTTAGGAATTTGTAAGCTTTTAAGTCCTGCCTAGAGCTTTTGTTTAAATTATGACCATTTTTCGGTTATTGTGGTCAACTTTTACTAATTTTGTTTATTTAAACTGTGAAACCGTAACCATGTCTAGGAACATAGTCAAAATTTCCAATTTCCCCAAGTTTTCTAGAAATAAGTCTTTTTGTTAAACTATGAATTTCAATTTTTCAAAATTGATCGATTCTGAGAGGTCTTGCTTTAAGAAATGTATTAAAGTATGTTGGCAAGTTCGACCAGAAGTTTTTTGTACTAACTGTGGCTTATAATCATCAGTATAAATAGAAAAATGTATTGAATCATTAACCAATAGTTCATTTTGTTGCAATTCGTGGAATAATAATGCAACAAAACAGGGTTGTTTATACACGTTTGACAATTGATTTTCTATCAATATAGAACAATCTATTAAGTATTTTTCTATTTTATAGAAAAATTATATTTCTAATTCTACCACAACAAATCATTACTTCCAAAAGTTATTATCATTCAACAATTAATTAGCAGCTGTTAAAATAATATCAAATTATTAATCAAAAAGTTAATATAATAATAGTAGTTTATTATCTGGTACAATATGAAGGAAACACAGATTTAATAGAATACTCTAATTAAAATAAGTTAAACTCAATAAAATAAGAGTAGTTAAATTAAGAATAAAATTAATGTTTGACCAAATAAAAAACTACAAATTTAATATATATTATATATGGTGTTTAGAATTGCTAGAATTAGAAACAATTGCTTCTACTTACAGAAGTTGTGAAATATAGAAAAAATTATAATTTTACCGAGTAAATATAACGTTAATAAAAATGTAATAAGGCACAATCAATTTGTTTTTTTTATGAAGATAAGTATTTTCTTAAACGACCGTCTAGTATTTGCACGATTCATTTCTTTGTACAAAGATTTTCCTCATTATTTGTGCAGTCGTTTATTTGCGTAAGTATATCCGTTTTTTTCAATGGCATACTAAAATATTATGAATGCATAAAGGAAAAAGATAGCAAATGAATGGCTATTTCTTAGATGTTTTTTCATGATATTATTATACATCATTAGAAGGTATAAAAAATAAGAAAGCAAAAGGCACAAATCGCACCTATTATAAATATCTAAAAATATCTAAATATTTTATATACATATATATATTATTATTATTAAAAATTTATTATTATTATATATATATAGAGAGAATAAAATGCAATTCTACACCAATAAGTAGATGTTATTACATCTTTAATTAATAGTAGCTTTTTATAAATTAGGATGTTAAAAAAGTGAACCTGATTAAAATACTTGCAAGCACATCTCTAGGAATTATCATACTATAGTAAAATACACAACGCTTCAAAATAAATACATACAAAATAATATATTCTATTTGTAAAAAGTAAAATTCCTGAAATGTTTATACCAATATAAATTGTTTAATCTACGGTGTATACCATAACTGCTTGCAATATATGCAAATAAAGTGCTACAAATATACAGTATATATTAAAAATAATGTTTCCATGCAAAACAAAATATAGTTATAAAACTCGAATACAAAAGTGATCAAGATTAAATATAGTTTTACGACTTCATTTTTATGGTGTGAGCAATAACATTTCATAGTTGTTGCAACATATATGATCTGCATTTTATTTTTTGTAGAGGTAAATACAGAAGAATCGTAATTCTAGTAATTTATTGTGACGTTGGTTATTGTAGCATTATAGTATCAAAATAAGTCCATGCTGATGATTTTCTTGTTATAACATGAAACGTATAATTTCAATCATTACTAAGAATAATTGTTTTTTAATTATTTCGACACAATTATATAAATCGTTTAGAGAACGAGTTTTAAAAATTTATTCAGTCACGCAAGTTCATAACTGATTGATTTCACAGAAAAACAAATTATAACAAATATAATTATTACGCGCCGCGGTAATAGTCTACTTAATACCTTTAAAAAAAATAAAAAAAATATATGTGAGCAAACGTATTAAAGAACGGATATAAATATAAACTAAATATTACTTTAAAATCAGTAATTTTCCACACAAATTAATGATTGAATTATATTAAATAATTTCATGCGTGAAAGAATTCAATATAAACAATTTAAAACATTTATTTGAAATAGAATTGCACAGTACCTGTAACTAATCTGGTTCCATATGCCTGCCAACTGCTGCTGTTTGGATAAAATGCTTCTGGTGTAATATAGTTGATCGCATTCCCTCGGAGGTCAATTCCGAGATCTCCTACTCTCCTCAATTGATAAAACAGCCCAGTAGGAAATTCGGAAACCATACTATCCTTTATCCTGATGGTCAATCGCGGATTTCCACGAAAACTGTCAAAACCTTCCGGTCGAATCACCGATAAGTATTGCCCACTAACTTGTAATGTTTCAAGTTTTCGATTTGTAGAATGTAAAAGTTGAACACTTAGCGTGGTTTCTGCTAATTTTAGGCTAAGCGAACGTAAGGTTGGAACAGCCGAAGCTACTTTGCCGATAGTATCCATGTTCTGTAGATGCTGGTTAGTTTCCACAAGTAAATTTTCCAAAGATATTCCGGATAAAGTCTTAGAATGGATTTCCTTCAACTCAGGAAGATTGAACAAGTTAATAGTTTTCAAGTAAGGAAGCCCTTGAAAGTTATTTTCGTTCAAACTAATTATAGGGTTTCTCGATAAGTTGATTAATTTCAATTTTGGAAGATAGAACCAGAGTTCTGAAGGTACCGATACAAGTTTGTTGTCACATAGATCCAAATCAGTCAAATCATACAGTGAAGTCATTATGACTGTCGATAAATTTTCTAATCTGTTCGAACATAAATTAACATGCCGCAAAGAATGTAATCTAAGCTGTGGAATATTCCTCGATTTTATGTTAGATATTTTCAAAGTCATTAAATTAGGTGTTCGGCGAAATACAGCGTCCAAATCCACAACTAAATTATTGTCGCTTAAATCAACAGACTGTAGCTGTTTAGATGATTGAAAAATATTCTCCGGCAACTTTTTGAACTTATTATGTGATAGATCAATGTCTAATATGTATGAAATACCCATAAACATGACATCATCTAATGAGGCTATCAAATTACCTCCGATATGTAAAGAACGTAAAGTGAAACCGATCTCAGACAGCGCTAAACTTGGCAGTATCACAATTTCATTGCAGCTCAAGTCTAAGTGTTCTATGAATGTATTTTGAAATATATCATGGAACAACGATCGTATATTATTATTATTCAATTTCAGTACACGTAGGTGGCGTAAATTAGCAAACTGTTCATTCTGTAATACTTCAATTTTGTTATGACTCAAATCTAATATGTGTAGGTTATCCAAACCGTAAAATGCTCTTCGCCGAATCAGTGTTATTTGGTTATGATCCATTTTCAATTCTTCCAGTAGACTTAAATCACCAAAGGCCTGATTTTCTAATCTTGTAATATTGTTCGACGATAAATATAATTTTCGCAGAGACCCTCCCAGGCAGTTCATAAATTCGCTGTAAACATCGCAAAGCCTATTATTCGCCAAGTCTAGCGTGTGCACATAATAAACGCCGTCCGCAGATGACAAAGTAGATATTAAATTGTTGCTAATATTTAGACTCAAAGGCGTGTGCTCGTTTGTAATATTATTAAACGATTTTAGATCTACTTGCTTCAGAACATTACTTGATAGATCTAAATGCATAATATTCGGCAGATGAGCAAAACTCGATTCATGAATATTCTCTATGTTGTTTACGGAAAGATCTAAGCTCAACAAGTTTCTCAAATAAGCAAAACCGAAAGAATGTATTGTAGCAATATTGTTTGAAGATAGATCCACGCTTTGTAATTCAGATAATTGAAAGAAAGTTCGTCGACAAATTCTTTTCAAAGAATTAAATGATAAATCTATGTGAACTAGGAATCCATGGTTAAAGAACAAATCTTCTGGTAGTTCTTGAATGCTATTGAAAGCTAAGTTCAAATGCACTAGTTCCTTGAAGTTCGACAATGTTTCAATCGTTATCGACTCAAAGTTGTTATTGTCCAAAGCCAAATACATGAGATTATGCAATTGTTTTAGAACTTCTCCTGGTAAATCTTCCGGATATAAACTGAAAGACATTTCCAGTATCTTCAGCGAATTACTGACATTCACAAAAGAGTTATTCTCTACGTACAGTATGTCATTAAAACTTAATCCGAGTTCTTTCAAATTTAACAAAGATATGAATACGTTGTCGTTTAATCTCGATATACGATTGTTCCTTAAAAGTAAAGTTTCCAGGTTTTCTGCCCATTCCGTGAAGTCATAAGCGTTGATCTCACTGATTTCGTTATAACCAAGATTCAAATAAGACAACTGTTTGCAATTTCTCAATGCGTCTGCGGGAATTTCTTCTAGAGAGTTACTACTCAAAGATAAAACTTTTATAGTGTTCGGAAGTTCGTGGATGTACGTTATGGCGTTAGAAGATAAATACAAGTAGCTGAGTGACTTGAGTTTTCTAAATGTGTCTTCGCGAAGTGTACTTAATAAATTATGTTCCAGGTCCAAGTACTCGAGATGTCGTTCTAGGCCTTTGAACGTGTCCTCGTGCAAATTCTCCAAGTCGTTATGGGAGAGTATGATTCGGGAGCAGTTCAGGCCGTTAAAAGCCTCAGAGTTCAGGCTCCTAAGACTGTTGTAATCTAAAATGAAATCTCTAATCGCGATCGTGCCATCAAATATTCGACTGGGTATGTACTTCAAATTGTTCAGACCCAAATCGAGCGTGTCCAACTGAGAGTTTTTAGTGAAATGATAATCTGGTATCTTCTGTATAAAGTTGTTTCGCAAATGGACGTTCCGTAGATTACCCTGTAAATCTATGTCTTCGCATGGCAAGTGCTGTATGTGATTATGAGATAAGTCTAAATTGCGCAACGAGTCGGGCAACGATCTAGGAGACAGCCGGCCGATACGGTTGCCGCTCACGTCCAAAGATTTCAGAACTTTGAAATTTCGCAAGGAATGGTCAGGACCGTCGACCTCCTCTTTGGACGGAATTTCTAATATGTCATTATTTGCTAACAGTAGAGTGCTCAGACTTTCGGATAGGTTGCCCCAATTTCCAGCGACGGAAGAAATTTCATTACTGCAAAAATAATACAGATAATAGAACTTGACAGATAATATATATTTACGTCAAAACTTAAAAATAACCCTTAAAAAGGTATATACCGCAATTTATTTTCACAAAAAATTCTGTATCACATGTAAAATAATGGGTAGTACTGCCCTAGGGCAGGCATGGAGCAGGTACTTGAGATGAGTTAAACTCCAACTCAATTCAGAGAATATATATACACCTAAGTCTGTTTTTACACGGTAGATTGGTTCCAGAAGAAGCCGTGTAAAAAAACGTGTAAAAAAAACATTGATCTTATACAAAAATGGGAGATTTATTCCTAATCTCTAAAATCTATTAAAATTAGGGGAAAAACAAGAATTTTTAAGAACAAGAATTCATGTTTATATTATTAAATCAAATATATAATGCTTATTTTCACAAGCATAGTAATTAATGATAAAAAAGATATGCACTCCAATCTTAAAAGTAATATAAATTAAATGTATGGCAAGTTCAGGAACTAAAAAACTATGTTGTGAACGAAAAGAATAGGTTATTCAATTTTTAAGGTAAAAAATAAAATTCACTTAAATCTTTAAGCTAGTGTTCGCAAACTATCGATACTATCGATGGTTTCAGACTTTTTTCTTTCATAAATACTTTTTTGTGATATGAACATACTTCGCAAAAATTAAATTTGATAAAAAAAAATTAAGTACATAAAATTTCAAATTGTGCTAAATGGAATAAAATCGTGTAAAAAATTAAAAATATTCAATTTTCAAACCGTGTTATATCAAAACCGTGTACAAAAAGACCGTGTAAAAACAGACTTAGGTGTAATATATATAAAATTCTTCTGTACAGATGTATGAGTATAAATTCCTCCTACGCGGTTATTCAAATTTTGTTAAATCTGTTTGAAGTTTTTTAAGAGAAATTCCAAGTAAATATAGTAATATTGTAGAATTAAATTAAAAAATTGCAAAATACAACTAATCATTGTTTGACATTGAAAACATTATGGCAAAACTGTTACCGGCCAGAAATGTCAGTTCAATTGAAATTTGAATTTAGGTAAAATAATGAGCCTAGACATTATTAGAATATAATATATTAATGATTGTGAATAAAAAAATGTAGTGTCTATACTATTATTGCAGCTGATATGCAAGAAATTAAAATAATAGAAGATACAGTATATGTTTGATAGATGAAATTATGTAACTTAGTTTGACAGATTATTTTATTTAACTTATGCATGTCATATTTTACCTTACTTTACTAAATTATTTAGGAATACAAAAAAAAATTTCAATTTTTTAAAATTTGCAATTATTTGAAAGTTTCATTGTGTCTCAAATTTATTTGATTGGAATATTAAAATAGTTGATCGTAATATTATACTTTTACCGCGGATACTATAATAATAGAATTTGTAATTATATGTAATTATAATGTAATTCTAGCAAAAACAGCCCAAATTAAGTTGCTAAAACCATAATGTAATTTTTATTATACATTTTTTTGAAACTGATTTTGTTACTTTTTTATTACACAGAAAGGTAAAATTTGTCGATAATTTGATGGATATATATTTTTCTCAAATTACAGAATGACAAAATTTATATTTTCGCTTTGTTGAACACTATTTTATTTGAATGCCTTTTATAAGATTTTAAAATGCTGAAAGTAACGAAGACTGTGTGAAAATGTTCAATATACTAATAGATATTTTCGTTCACAACTAGTAGTAAATAAATAAATGAAAATCATAATTAAAATACATTTTGTAGCAAGGAAGACGTAGAAGAAATGTATGTGTACAAAAAGTTTATCCTTGGTGATTTATATAGGAAATATTCATGTGTGATAAGCTTTAATTAATGGAAAACCGTGATAATATAGAATGGAAACGTACAGACTCCACCGAACACACATGATCATATATTTTTCCATTTTAAACAAAATTCTATATATAAATATTCCATTTAACAAGGGTAATGGAGAGGTAGGATTAATAAAAGGGTAATGGAGACAAGATTAATAAAAAAAAATGAAAGTTAAAATAGTAAAAATAACTCTACTGAATTAGAATTCTGGACTCTCAATTTACAAGACATGAGATATTATATTGAATGCATTTATACTAGAAACTCTTTTAAAATCATATTTAGAAAATAAACTTATAGATAGAATGAAATGATCGTGTTCTTTTTTAAATTCCATAGTTTCATTTAATCTCTTTTTATTTTCCAATATAAAGAATATTTATAGCATGGATATAAAATTTGTAATTTATCCTTCAAAATAAGAAATATTAGATTCTATATACTCGAAGTGATTCAAAACCATCACGACTATTAAACTATAGTAATTTAATAAATATTCAACAAAAATAGTATAAAATAATATTAATAGTTAATAACTAAATGTGTATGGAATTAAAAATTAGTTGTTATTACAAACTATATCAATGAATAAATTCATCAACTATTAAGAATTCGATGCTATCATATCATACTATTATAATTATTTCTCATTAATTATAGACATAAGTTTGAAATTTTTTATTTTATTATAATATATATTCTTTCCAAAATGATACGTCAATTAAAATGATAATTTTATTGATATTTAAAAATTTAGTAGAAAATTGTGATCATTCAAAAATTAATGAATATATTTGCAATTAAAGTAATTAATACTGACAAAATATAACCCATTATTTAAATTTAATAAATAAATCCTCAGTATATGAGTTACACTTCCCATTTTCCACATGACTATTTTCCAACCAGAAAAAATTTAATAAGAATCGCTTCGGAAAAGACTTAGTATTTGCATTTACGAAGCACTAGTCAAATAAACCATTTCAAGAGATTTTTTCAATTAAGATACATAAAGAAAATATAAAGCTTGTAACAAAAGCATAAGGTTGGAAACCCAGCCAAGTGCATTAAGTATTTGAGCTTTATGCATTTATATTCTTTTAACTTTCATAATTTTCATGGAAGTTATAGTGAAAACGTCTTTATATAGTCCTGAATAAGAAAATAATTCAGTTCTTAATAAACGCTATAGAAAATATAATTATGAGTATCTCAAATAAAAATAAGAATATATTATGAAAATCCCCTTTCGTGTACGTTGTCATGTATGTAACAATATTAAATGCTAAAAATCATAAGCTTTTCACAATTAGTTGTAATTAATTCATTATTTTTATTATGATGATTCTTTATTATACTACTTCATTTAATATAATAGCAAAACATTAGAAAATTTGAAGAGGTTTATTTATTATTATTTCCATCCACTTAAGCCTTGTTTGATATAGTAAAGCTTATTGTGAGTCTGATAAATTTTAGGTTAATTTCCTTAGAAATATGGAAAAAATGAGCAGTACTTTTGTCACAATTTACAGAATATCGGATATATTTTCAGTACTTTATGTTAATGATAACTCAATATTTTAGAAGTTTGCTTAAACTGAAGCCAATAAAACAATTTGTCGATGCAAACTGGTAAATGATAAGACAATCAGTTAGATATTGAATTTATCAAAAAGTTAAGTGTTGGGAGTTAATTTAGAATATCAGAACTTTTAGTATATGATGGATGACTAATAATAATATATATTTATTTATGACTAAATATTACCTGGTGAGATCAAGCCTTGATAATGTTTTCAGACCAAGTAGTGCACTGAAAGGTATCGCAGACAATGAATTACTTCCCAAGTCAAGAGAATTCAAAGTGTTTGTCATGGAACTGAAAAAAAATCAAATAAATAATGAGTATATTTGCAATTATATTCAAATTATTTTAAAAGCAACAATATAAAACATCATCAATTTGCAATACAATGTTTTATGATGATGCTGCAAATTAAAGGAAATTGAGTACACTGGAGGTAAAAAACAGGATCATCTTTTCTTATTTATACAACTTTATGTTACTTTCAATATTTTTAGTCAAACAATTTTTAGTGAAAACACAATAATGTATTTGTTTCAATTATATAAATATTATTTAATAATATCTATGAAAACTACATACATATTTATTTTATCGTTCAAAAATTTTGTTTGACATTTTATTTAACTAAAGACCATCAGATTTTTTTTATAATCATAATGAAAAAATACTAAAGTTTCAGAATTCGTTGAAGGCGACTTCAAAGATTCATAATGAAACAAATTGAATTAACAATCTAATTCAAATTGAATTATTAAATCGCAATACGACTCGATGAAAAGCACTTGTATAGCATAGAAATTAAGTTCAAAAAATGATTAATTGATTGGATATTTCCAATAATTAAATCTGCATTTATCTTTGCAAATATTGTAATGCATTCACTATTAGAAAATTCAATATAATGAAATATCCAGTACATTTTGCTTAGTTGATGTATTATTTGGATAAAATGCATTTTCATATATTTTTATTCATGATCTTTCATGAATTTCATATTATTTAAAATGTAGAAAACTATTGGTCATCAATCCAACAACAATACCTAAAATAAATGTGTTATGTATTTTACACATATATTCACTCATTTACTCCATTTTTATATAATCATTATTTACCTCGGAAATCTTTTATTTGTAGTATGTATATTTTAGAAACTAAATTCATTTAAAAACAATGTAATAATAATTCAGTACTCAAAAAATAATATACACAAATTTATATAGATTCCAAAACAAAACATAGTGAAATATCTTGATCTTCATTTGGACAGCAAACTTACTTGGAAAAGTCACATAAAAATAAAAAAGCAGCAAATAATGTTCAAAATGAAAGAATTTAATTGACTAATGCGTAAAAAGTTTAAGCTCCCCGCTGAAAATAAATTGCTGCTATATAAAACAATCATCAAACCAATTTGATCCTACGGTATTGAGCTCTGGGGCGTGCATACAAATAATAGTTGACATTACTCAACCTTTTGGCATAAGGAGATTGAAACGACACTGGCCTTTAGACTTACTCTTAGATTAGCACTAATATAATATTATCATATTAATTGTTAAACTAAGAAGATCTCATTGGAGTTCTTCTTAGACATCGCTCTTAAATATTGTCAATTTAGCTCATAGGAATCTTTATATATTCCTGATTGTTAAATAAAACAGATTTACAAAAAAATATATATAGGAAAAGTGAAAATGCAAAAAACAAAAATACTTTGTTTTAAAAACTTAATTTATTTAATTTTTTATTATTTTTTTAACTTAAGAACGAAAGAACGATAAAAAGCGATATGCCAATGACGGCTACAAATGGACACTTTTGGAATGAAAGGCAAAGATAAATATAAGCTTTACAGAAAAAAATATGAAGTTCACAACTAATTTGCGGAATTATAGTATACAACACTTAAATGTCAACTATGACGCATTTTTGACAAAGCTGAAATGCCAGCGACTACTGTGCAGTAATTATAACAGCATTATACACAAGAGCAGCTCCTGCGTTCATACTCATAAAGCCATAGGATATTTAAAATAATTTTCATAATTATTAAAACTTTTATCTGCAGTTTTTAGAACACACTACCGCTACAAAATAATTTTTCCTCATGCAAGTATCTAGTCGACTTTAATCTGCGATTTTATAAAGTACAAAGTTTCAAAGTATTAAGCAGCAGTTCTAATTACGTTAAGCCAAGAACTTAATGAATTAATTTAAATTTATTATCCAATATCAAGATAGCCTTGCCGAATAGGTGCTACGGAATAAAAGTTGGAGATTAAAATTTGAAATTACATTTCTTCATAATTGGCGAACATAATTGAAATATTAGGAAATTTTACAATTAAAATTTTGCAAAAATAATAGACACATATGAACAAAATGATAAAACTTTTTTTGGATATCATTGTACACCAAGAAGCATTCAATTTTATAAATTCAGACATGAATTTAAATTTGTGATACTTTAACTAAGTTTACAAACGATATCTATGAAAAAATGGCTAAAAACTACTATTAGCATACATTATTTATCGAAAGGTTTTAATAGTTAAATTCTGGCAAATCTAAATTAGGTTAAGAAACAATTATGGAAGTACATAATATATATAAATATGAATGTTCAAAACACTATGAGATCTTCAAAATGATAATGATAAATGGTAATGATACTCGAAACATAGATAAAAATATGACTATATTATTAGAGCCACTATAAAAGATTTGTTTATTTGAAAACTTTATAGTAAATACTCAATCCTAAATGGACGTGTTAGCATTTTAAATCTCTAAAACTCAATGTCCTCTGAGCAGAGTCAATATGAATCTAAAGGTTTTTTTCTACCTATAGAAATATCACTATGAATATATATATACATACTATATATACATACTATAAAACATATACCAATTTTTCCAGAAGTATATCAAAATGATCAGAATTTCAAAAAAGAAATTCAGATTTTTTTCGATTTTTATGCTTTTCAATATCTTTTATAATTTTCACTTTCTCTATAGGTACAAGAAGTTAATAATGATGAGCAGATTCTGATAATGAATAGTAATAAATTGTTGTTTTGTAATTTAACATAGACAACATTTATTGAATTGATGGGATCAATAATCAAAATCATGTTTTTTTTAATGAAGGAAACGCAATATAATTATATTAGTTTTTTGCTGCTTGAAGAATGATGACTTTCGGCTGGTTCTCGAAACTTTTATTAATTTGAATGAATACGAAATTAATGTATTTTATATCTGCATTGGATGTTAATTAAATCAAATATTTAAAAAAATCTTTGTTACGAAACACACACACATATATATACACACAAATATATATATATATATATATATATAATATGCAACCCAATTACAGGATCTAACAAACAAGGCTTTATAATTAGAGATGGCATATACAACCTAATTAATATATGAAGAAAAAAATGTGCTCAACAAATATTTCCTGTTTTTGAACAATGATGTTTTTATTTTGTACGAACATAATCTAATTAATTTGACAAACTTTTTTTAATATATATGAAGACATATTTCATTTAAAAAAAAATGTATACAATAGAAGGTACAGAATTACTGAGCTCTTATACTATGTCCATATTTTTGAACAGAAAGCTAATTACAATTATCTGCTATAAACACTTATTCTAATGATCTGCAAATTATTATTTTTAACAGCGAAAATCTCAAATTTTAATTGAAACATGGTGCTAGATAAGTATTTAATTAGCATTTTGAAAATTATGAGCATTGTTTTGTTTCTCAACTACTGGAGATAAACGGCAATATTGTTTGAAAATTCATAACAAAAGTATTTTTTTTCTGTAAGTTTTTTTTGGTTGTGAGCACTGTTGTTTAGTTTATGAGACCTCAATATAAATGTTTGTGTATACGTTATTTAATTGATTCCTAAGATGTGTTGATATTTTAAGTTAGATTCAACAGATGTTTTAATATAATCGCTATATATAATGTGAATGGAAGGATTAGTTAAACATTTACCCTGGCAAAGACGTAAATAAAGAAAATATGTGAAAAATGTAATTTTAGTTAAAAAATCAATTTTACAAAAAATAAATTAATAGTTATGCCAACTCTACTCTTGATGAATATTCCTGACGAAGTACCAAATTAAAGTTATATAACGAAGTGTTATCTATGAAAAAAATATGCCCATTGAATATATATTTAGCACTGGTAAAATATTGTAGTTATTCCCAAAAATTAATTTTGAAATTAAAAAAAATACATTGGATTTATTCACTTCTTGACAGCCCAATTTTATCCCGCTTATAGGGAAAAAGGAACTGATGATAAATTTTAGAAAAATAGTAGAAAACATATTTCGATTATTAAGAATTAACTGAGAATTTTGCTGGATATAGTACGATATGTTTGACATGTGTTATGTGATATGATCAGGATCTTCTTAAACTATGGGTCGCAAACCCAAATGGGGTAGCGTAGGAAAATACTGGGGTTTCGAGAGATTTTAATGTCAAATATTTATATCATTTAGTAAAATCTCTATCACTTCTTAAGTTTTTTTTGGATGATGGATTGATTCTCAACGAAATCGTTAACTATATATTTTTATTTGTATATCTATATGTATATCGTTACCAAATAAATAAAACATTAAAAAAATATTATTTTATTATTATCTTAGTATTTTTAATATTGTTATTTTGTTATATTCATTATTATCTGTTACTTATTGTTTTTATTTCACTTTATTGTTTTTCTAGTATTATTTTTATTATTCAAAAATTTTATTTATTTTATTTATTAATTTTATTTTTATTATTGTTTGCTTTTATTTTATATTAAATCATCATACTACGGATTTCATTTTAATGTAAATACTATCCTTCATTTTTTACTCTTTTTTATTTAAATTCATGTTATTGTTCATTATTATTATTAGATGTTAAATTATTTAGCAGTTGTAATAAATATTATAAAGGGTTCATCAAGAAACTTGTAATCATGGATGGGGTCGTGAAAAAAATCGATCGTTAGAATCGAAATATATTTGATGCTAACTGAATCACTCACTCGCGGCTTTCTGTTGACATATATTCCAGAAATTTGGCAGCAGGAAAGATCACGTACGGCAAATAAAGGAAGATATCGGAAAATCAATAACTCTTATTCTTTGTCGAGTTATTACGTGACGTACATATTTTTAGTTTGGCCGTCAACATTGCTCTCACTACTCTCTCTTCAAATTTCGAAGAATCGAATGATAGCGAGTAATTTTATTG